TTTTTTTTTTTTTTTTTTTTTTGAAGTCTGGAAAAAGTTCGAAAGCCGCCAATGTCATATTTTGCTGAAAACGAAAAACAAGCAGGATGCAGTAGACCTCTCCTTGTGCTTAAACTGGAGCATGGTAGCCTCTAATAGTTTGGTTCTTGTGACAAGATCTCTGGAAATAGTTCCAAAACGTGCGTAGAAATGTCAAAGAGAGGGAGAACAGTTGCAGTGTACATATGGAGTCAATGGTAGGTTTGATGATGGAGGGAGAACAGGACAGGATCTTTTTTTTGGCTGCTCGCACTACCCTCCCCAGACCCCACCTTGTGGGATTACACTAGGTTTGTTGTTGTTGTTGCTAGCACAATTCTATGCACAAACACTTCAGACTCTAGGCATCGAGAAATTACTCAAGATATCAGCATTTACAAATTAAGGTGGGAGGCAATTGTAAGAAATACAGTGGTTGTAGATTCTATCATCAAACCAATTAGAAAAACAGGGGCATACAGGTCATAGAAAGAATGAGCAACAATATAAACAAACATCCTCTCTTATTTTTTCCTTTTGATAACCAAGAAATCCCCAACGGTCATGTGGCACACAATTTCAGAACTCAGTGGATAACGGGCCTTCCCCTCTACCCTTCTCCACCCCATCCTCTGGTTAACATACGGAAACCAGCTAAAAAGATCTAAATATCAAACCCCTAGACCGACCCATGGATGAAACTCTAGTGGAATAAATGAATAAATTAGTGGATATCAAATATGTAACGCATGCAGACTTTTCCTGAAAATGCAAAAACAAGTCAAAATAAAGGTCATAACTGAAGTACTTCTCTTATCGGGTGTCCCATTATGGGACGAGACAGTGAGCATGCATGGATAAAAGGAACAACTTCTTATTATTTACAATGAACAAAATTAGTAATAAACATGCAAAAAGGTCACAAGTTAGGAAAACGTTCTTAATAGCACGAACCACAAGATGAAGAGTCAGAATCACTACTCGAACTACTTGAACTACTGCATTTATTGCTCCTGCGAGCTCTATCCTTCTCAATCTCCACAGGTGGGAAGCTTGAAGCAGGTGGATCATTCCCACCAATATCCACTTCCTCATCTGCCGGATCATTTCCTGTATAAAGAACGAAAACACAAAAAAGGGAAAACGGAAGAAAAAAAGAAAGACCAAAGGATCAGAAACCAGAAACTCTGGCAAACATACTATATCAACTGAAAAGCTCAAATTCTTCACATCTACGGATTAAACTCACCTTTGCACGGTTGCATGGATGAATTGCTGAATCCAGACTCATCGTGAAGCTGCAGAACAACAAAAAATATGACATTATAATTTGCACACAAGGAGGATTTACTACTGTAATGTAGCATATGAAGTAACACATTAGGTATCCACATAACTGTATTTACCTCCATCTCACAGGGTTCACCTTTTGCCTGCTTTTTCTGTTTTTCCAGTAGATACTCATCCAAAAGCTTCCGTAGCTCGTACAAGATATCATCATTAAGAGCATCAAGATCAATCTCGATCTCGTCTTCACTGACTTGACTTCCATTGAAGCTTTTTTCTCTCAAGAAATCAATTATATTTTCAGGTAATTCAGCCAGTAAAGCTTCAATCTCGGCAGTGAGTTTATGCTTATCAGCATCACTCATGACTCGCTTTACGGGCTCTGGTGTAACCTTGTTGTCCAGCGGAGCAACTTTCTTTTTCTTTGAAGGCGGCATTGCTAGAGGAGTATCAGTTTCAGTTTCTAGGATAACACTCGACTTAGAAGGTAAAGGTTCCTCTTCTATTATAGGAATCTTCTTTTCTAAGGGTTTCCATCTAACCTCGAAAAATTTACTAAGTGTTTGAGCCATGAAATGAACATCATTTCCTGGCGGATTATATGTCATTGCATTTTTAAAAGTGAGCCTCACATCTGCGGCAAACTGTAAAGGGCTCAAATATTCTCCGGAATGTAACTTTGATTTGACGGTCCCTAGGTCCATTGGTTGCTTAATAACAGTGAAATAGTCAGGGATTTTTAACTTTACGACATCAACTGGAGTATTAAAGACCCAACCATGCTGATGTGACATCAGTCGGTTTAGCAGTGTCTCACACTGTTTCATCAACATGACAGTGCTGGTATCTGAAGGGACGGCCGTTTTCATTGGCTTAGGCCGCTTAGCTCCTGATCCTTTAGTAAGAGGTCCATTTCTTCCCAGCGCAGCCTTTTTCTTCCCAGGAGGCACCACTGCTTCAGTCAGATACTTCTGAGATATCTCCGATCCTGACCTCCTCTGCCCATCGGTGCAATTCTGAATATCGCTAGCAGGTGAATGAACTGAAATATTAGAGTCGACAGAAGCAATCTTCTTCTGCAGTGCCCTGATTTGTTCAAGTTCATTCCTCAACCTAATTCCCAAACCTCTTCTCTCAGAACGTGACATCTTGGACAATGACATTACTTGAATAGGTACACCAAATCGATCATAACCATCAGCATTCAAACAAAAGGATTTCCTTTTAGGTGCACAAGAGTCTTCCGAAGCAGTCCTTTCAGTATCAACCCGTCCTGAGCTCCCAAAACCCTCCGATTCTGCCATTGTCTCAACAGCATTGCAAAAATCTGGCACAATCCTAGAAGCGTAACCCTTAAAAACCTTGCGAGATTTTCCCATCATATCACCTGAATCCTTTTTAAACAACTTCTTGGATTCTCTCTGCCCAATGTAATCTATTGGAACAGTAGGTGCCATGTGGATAACCCCCCAAGTCTGCACATATCAACTATTTCTTCTCAACATTTTGATCCCCTCAAATTACACACAAACACGCAAAGTCGACAATTATGTAAGATATCAATAGCATTGGTATATGACAACTTTCACCATTTCGCGCAATGCAGAGTTCAATTAATTCGTCGTTTTCCCCTTTGTTCAAGATCCAGGTTTAAGACTTGCCTTGTGATAGCTCAGAATATATTCACATTCATTTCCTGTATAGTAACTCAATCACAGAATTCTGATTTATTCTGGGTTATGAAATTAACGAATTGGGAATAAATAAAAGAATAACAGATTTAGAAAAACCCTAACCTCAAATCAAATTCCCTTCATTCAGAGACAACCCCTAAAGAAAAAGATCCTAACTTTTAATTAAAGCCCTAATTTTTTTAAACTAAAAGGATAAATTAAGACAACCCAAGAAGAATCCAATTGAAAACCTGGATCTCCGCAGATAAAGGCCTGAGATCTTATCGGTTCGGGTCGACCCACCAACCCTAATCAAGGACCAAACCCTAGAAGGTAAAACCCTTCTATGCTTACGCTTGTGAGTTGCGAAATAAATATATAAAGGCACACAAGATTTGGAAAAGAGGAAAAGCTAACGCTAGAGAGAGAGAGGAAATGAAATATATAAAGAGAGAGAGAAAGAGAGAAAGAGAGAAAGAGAGTACTTACGAGATTGTCTTGTTGGGTCTCTTGATGCCACCCCTCTACTTAAAGGTAGTAATTTGCAGCCCACCCTAGCCCGCCGCTCGTTAACTAATCTAAACCGTCTGTTTTTCCTGTTTATTTGATCGGACGGTTTTTCTTAATTTTCTATACAGACCGTCAGATTCAGACTCGCGGCTATGATTGTTATTGGCCACTCTTTTCAGATCTGTCAAATTGTTTTCCAGTTGGGTTAATATATCAATCTTACGCGGCAATCATTCATTTAAGAGGTACTCTATATTTCACGCGCGCCGAAGGAAAATGTGTTACACTTGTAATAGCATTTGTTTGGTTATTAAGGATCAATATAGTTTAGGCAAAACCAAAATTAAATTTTCGAATTTAATTTTTATATATTTTGGTTTTCAGTTTGGATTTTCGAATATCCATCCGAAACTTGTATATCTTATATTTAGATCAACACATTAGACATTAGTCCATATACCTTGTATTAAGTGTAATACCCTACAACTTTTTAGATTTTATTTATGTCCATAATACTCCCTCCGTTCCAGTTTATGTGAACCTATTTCTTTTTTGGTCCGTTCAAAAAAGAATGACCCTTTTCTAAATTTGGAAATAATTTAACTTAAGTTTTCAATTCTACCCTTAATGAGAAACTTTTATAACCACATAAATATTTTGGACCCCTTTTTGATTTGTTTATGACCACAAATTCTAAAAGTCTTCATTTTTTTCCTTAAACTCCGTGCCCAGTCAAACAGATTCACATAAATTAGAACGGAGGGAGTACTTTTTAGTTACACATATTTTTACTATGTTTGGACATGTTAATTCTCAAGCCCTTATTTGTTGCTAGGAATTTCACTTATAATTATTTCATTGTTTGCATAAATACTTATTTGAATGATTGTAGTGAATTGTATTATGTAGGAAATCTTACATTAATATTTAATTTAGATGTTAACTTTTGTAAAAAGAAGAAGAAGAAGAAGCAGCAGCAGCTCAACTTATATACTTAAAATTGAAAACTCAAAATAACAAAATGATTAATCCGAAATTGAATTTGAAAAAATCGATCATTCCAAGTTTTTTTGGATTGGATTTGAATTTTATAAATTCAAAAATCCAATACGATATTTTCATATCCAACCTGAACTATCATAATGCCCGTACCTAGTAATAAATTTTAAATTTGTGACTTTAAATATATAATAATATTTATATTGTCATAAAAAATTCATTAAGGACAGAATGAAAAAAATGAAATTAATTTTTTTAAATCAAAAAATCTATCATTCTTTTTTAAATACATAAAAAAAATATAGTATCACATAAATGGAAACACAAGAAATGGATGAAACTAAATTTCATTAAGGATAGAATGAAAAATATGAAATTAATTTATTCAAATCGAAAAATACATATTTTTAAGAAATGGATGAAACTCGCGAGTTTACAATTGAGTTTTTGTCAGCGAGTTGTTGCCACTTCATGCTTGAGAAGAGGGGTTTGGCCGTTGGCGTGAATGTGAACGCCGTACAATTTCGGAGGCTGGTAGATATTTGACCATTTACCGCCATGTGACGCTGCAAGTGGGTCCAATGTAAGTAGCCACGTGCGCCAATTTTTACTAAAACCCACTTACTGTTTGTGAATTCCGCCGCCAGCATTTGTCTTGGACTTTTTATGTTCAAATTAAGGTTTGTTCAATTGAGGAAAAGTACATTATGGGCCGGGCCTCGAATGTTTCTATTCTTGTAAACAAACGTTTTCCAGACCCAATCTATGAACGAATTAGTGATGTAGTTGCTTGTGCGTGTAAAGTGTAAATTGTTTACCCGTAAAACGGTACAGTTAAATTTGTTATGTGGTTTATACAAGCGAACTGATTTGATCCAAAATGATAAACAAATTGGATTAAAAATAAGACTTAGCGTTGAAATCAAAGGGAATGGCAGGCCTGGCTCCGGGAGCGATGCTTCCGAGGATAGAAATAAGGGCAATATAAAACAGAAAGTAAAGTTGTATTATTTAGCTTGAGAATAGAATGTAGCATAAGTTTTGCCAAAGATTTCGTCCCTCTACAATGGTTGTTGAAATTGCTATTTAAAGCTATACCTAGGAAACAAGATCCTAAGATCAAGCCCCCTCTTAAATGTCAATAAAGGGGGTCATTGATGAATGTGTAACGACATGCCATGAATACAAAAATTCTCTACAATGGCTGCCTATTTAATACTAGGGAATATTCTTCATTAAATATCATCTGGTGACAAACATTCAACCTGCTCACGTTGATTATGCACCATTCGGGGCCTATCCGATGTCAACTGTAGCTATTGTTCCCGGTATTAGTTCTTACTTGATTTTTCTTCTGCATCATTTGATTATTTAATATAAATCGAGTTTACCCTATATAGATAGTCCCTCTACTTTCCGGTGGCATATCTTTGTGTCACCGGGAAGTTGGTAAAGATCCCTTTCCTGGCGGGAAATCTTCTAAAAACCTTCTGAACATTCTCCGACGCTTGACAAGACGCATGTCTTCTCACATTTAATACCCCGAACACATATTGCCCCACGATTCAGCAATATTTTTTGCCGGTTCTCGAAGCAATCATGACCACGATTTTAGCCGTCTATATCTTTACTTATACTCATCATTTTACCTCTTTAACTTCTAAAATTTAATACGTTCTTTTATCCTCTTTGCACTTAACCTCCTTCTGCTTTCATCTCTCTCCGATTTTCTTCAAAAAAACTCTATCATATTCTTACTATTATGGTTTCTTTTACTGAATCTTTTAAGAACTCTAGTCTTCTCTTTGGTGGAGGCCCAAAGAGAAGCAAAGATAAAGAGGTTGATGTTATTGTTGATCCTCTTACGGTAAGCACCATCATACCCAAACACTTGAGCACCGTTAATGACTTCCAAGAGAACTTCCCTTCTACGAATCCTCGAACTTGGGCTGTTAGCAGGGATCCTTCTTCTATTCGCCCTTCTAGTATTCCTACTGTGAAGGAGGATTGTAACTTTCCAGTCCTAAACATCATTGCTCCTGACCTGGTGGAGCATGTTACATTCACCAAGAAAGGTTTTATGTATGTCTATACGTACCCTTTCACTTTGGGCCCATTTTCTTTAAGTGGGGGACTTGACCCCGTGATCTTGGAGTTATGCCACTGGTACCAGGTCTGCTTGGCACAAGTAGGCTCTTATGTGTGGCAAACGGTGGCTTGTTTGCGCCGGCTGTGCACGGAGACGGGGAAAACCCTAACTCTGGCACACATGATGAATCTTTACTCCCCCAAAATCTTTCGTGGGGGAGTAATAAATTTTAGTAAACGTGGTCACCATGCCTTACTTACCAGCATAGACGATGATAATGATTGTGGATGGATAGAGAGGTTTGTCATCATTGCTACTGGGGATATCACCCCGGCACACAACTCCATCTTTTCCTGAATTATGGAGTCGTTCACGTAAGTTTGTAATCTACTCATCTCTTTTTCCCTAAAAAGACTGTTCTCTGCCATTGCTAACCCTTTTATTTCCATTATTTTAGCTACTCGGTAGACACGACCAAGGGTTTAAGGCCTGGATCAATAGGTTCAGAAGATTCTGATATTACTACACCAAAACTCCGTCGGTGGAAGGAGATAGGCCCCAAATACTGGTGGAAGGCCAAGAACCACGGTAAACTGAGTCCTTCTACCTTACACCTCTATGTGTACATAATACAATTTACTAACCATATCCTTTTGTTTGATTCAGGACTCCCACGTGGCACTGTTACCTACCCCGAAGTCGAGGTTTTGGCCGATCTTGTGGACGCTGCGAGATTGCTGCAGGATGCTCTTACTCGGAGCGGTGCCCTTAGGGCTGCTTCCGATACAAGCGACCAAAAAGGTGACACTCTTCCTCGATTGGGGATAAAAATAAGAAAATATAGAAGGCCACACCAGAGCCAGTCGTGACCGTAATGGTCATTGAATATGCTGGGGAAGCTAGTGATGAAGAGGCTTCCATTCAAATGAGACAACTACCTTCATCAGCTCAACCAGATGCTCAATCGAGAGAGCTTTTAAAACTGACATATGAAGAGGCCTAAGAACTATAGGGCGAGATGGATCTGGTAGATAATGCCAGCTCATACTATCTTGTCCCCGTTGTTGTTCGTGGTCCAAAGAGTTTGGGATCCGGACCTTTTCTGCCTTCAGTTAATGAGCAACCGATAATCAGCATTGCCCTTGTTGCAGCTGCTTCTCAACCTACAACATCAACGACTTCACGCCCCTCTACACAGCTGCTCCTATGCCACCAGCATCCGTTGCATACCCTCCACCGTCTGCAAATGCCTGAGATGAGGGTGCTTCTCCTCCCTAGTCCCCCGACCACGGGAATTTGGGGCACAATTACTCACCCCCTTCTCCAGATCCCCGAGGAATGAGGAGTGTCACTCTCTCGGTTTCGAAGGGGTGCCATATGTTGTCCAGGTCGGTGAATCTTGCCAACTATATGAAGAAGCTGGCTTCAGATAAAGATAAAGATGAAGATACACTCTCTTTTCTGGGGAGTGCATATTGAACAACGCCATACACAATGCGGAAGTTGTACCGTACAAGTTCTCTTATTGTTTGTTCTTTGTTTATCTGTTATAATAGGTTTCTGACTTTGATATACATTTTGCATGCCAAATTCCTTACGTCTGAGGGCCTTCAGATATTGATCCTTGATAAATAAGGACTTATGTCCGAGTAGAATCAGTTATTGGCTGAGAGGGACCAACTTACTGCTCGTCTCCCAATACTGGAGGCAAAGGATACTGAGGCTAGTGAGCTTGAGGCCCGGTTGCAGCTAAGTGAGCAGGAAGTAATGGCCCTTAGCCAAGAAGCCAAGAAGCCACTCAGCTAAATATACAGTTTCAAGAAGCTAAGGCTAAGCGGGTTGAGGTTCAAGATATTGTGCTCGCTGCTGTCGAGCACGAGTTT